TAACAGCTGGTGGTTGAAGCTAAGGCCTAAAATCTTTCCAAATCTAAATTTCTTCAAATTAAATATGTATTAAAAATGGCAACCAATAGGCTTTCTCAATGCGTAGAAATACACACACGGTAATGCTACGAAAGATTACACCAAAATGGTGCACACAAGAAGTTATGACGTGAAAACACACTTACACCGTTTATAAAAGTCAAGAAAACTCGAAGCACTGTAATAGCTGGTCGCTCGTGCTCTTTAAATTTGGAAGTTTTTTCTTGGTAAATATGTACATTCCATAGATGTACATTTAAGGTACATTTAGGATGAGTTTCCTGAGAAAATAAATGCTCAAGAGGAATAAGCAGGAATCGATGAGGGAAATCTTAATTTGCATTTTTCCTGCCTTAAATGTCTGAAATATCTTGGGTATAATGTTGCGTGAACAAGGCTTTTAGTGTTTAGTGTGCTATGACTTAAACATTCTCTTTTTGCTAGGGTCTATAACATTTGCTATTAATGGCTGTTACTTTTCATTTTTATCTACCAAATGTTCTAAGGAAGAAAAAATATGCAAAGGCTCCCGTTGGTCTGCTCAAATCTTTCCTTTTCTCTGGTGACAAAATTTACTCTTCTTAAACCTGGAACAACAGGCTCTTGGGATACTAGGTGGTTCACTCCATCCATGATCTTTTCTATTTATTTATTTTTGAGAGAGATTTTTGCTATAGGGCATATGTGCTCTCCAGAGAGACAGAGAGAAGAGATAGAGAGACAGAAAGTGAGAAATCATCCCCCAGGAGGGATGGCCATGTCCCAATCCCTTCTCCATTCTCCTCTCAGGATCTTAGACACACATGTACATGCGCCTGGTATGAGCTTTTAAGCCACCAGGTCCGGGGGTTGAACTGTGGCTGACTATGTAGGATCCAGCGACATCACCATTACGCCATCTGCTGGTCTGCCCCCAAGGCACGATCTTTACCCAGGGTAGGGTCTCCGAGGTGTCCATTTGCCCGTGCTTTGTCTTTTGGTCTTCAGTGGTGCTGTGAAGGGAGGTAGGGCCACATTCCTTCAGCCACCAGAGACCCTGAAACACAGACACAGATAAAGCTCCATGTCCCTAATTCCGCACAGCTTGTAACAGTACACCGTCATGGTCATGCTGTAAATGAAGCCTAAAACATTCAACCAGGAAAACACAGGTGGCATTATCTTGAGCTTAATCAGACGATCCAGAAAAACTGAGCCAATTGGCCTGTCTGGGCTTCCCAGGGCTCTGGCTGAGGAATGCAAACTCCCCAGCCCGGGCTGTAATTCTGCCCCAGCTGCTGGTCACCACAGCTGAGGTCCTGATGGAGATGGTCCCAGGGCTGGTGGGGACTTCCCGGATGGCAGCAAGGATCCCAGGAGCCTCCCACGGGGGTGAGACCTGTTTTCTTTCGGGTCATCCAGGGACACTGAACTGGAAGAACGCTAGGCCCAGGGAGACCTCACTTCCCTAGACAGGGTTGCCTGCCATTCCCCACCTAGTCTATCCCTCCCCTCAGCACCTCTTCCCTCATGGGAGACGACAGCTTCAGCATGCACCCCTGCATGGAGTATGAATCCCATCTGCAATGGGTTCGCACCCAAACCCTGGAGGTTCGCTGCAGTTGTAGAGACATAGAAGACGCATCTCCTGGTTCCTAGAACAAAGCCCGGTTCCTACTTTGCAGGCACACTTCAGAATGACCATCTCCTCTGTCGTTACTGCAGGCTGCAGAGGGGTTGGGCATCCCACCCTGTGCCATGAGAGTTTCACTCCTTCTGGAAAGGGAGAACAGGGCTACTCAGTGTCAGAATCCCAATTCTACACCCAGTTTCCCATGCCTGAAACCATCATGGCTCCATTGACAGAGAGAAGAGGGAAGAAGTGGGGTGAGGAAGGGGGCCGCTGCTGGGGAAGGGGAAGCTTGGGTTCCAGAGGATAATAAACGTGCCTGTGATTTTAAAAAGTTCTCCCAGCTTCAAGCATGTCTTACGGGTTACTCTCTGACCACGTAGCTCATAAATTCTGCCTACGTGTCACAAGCCACCTGCTTCCTCACTATCTGCTCCACGCGTCTTACACGTTTTACCCATTCTATTTGTTTCTCTTGTCTTCTCCAGCAGAGTTGACTGTTCCCATATCCTACAGCAAACACACATTGTAAGCAGAAAGGTGTAGAGAAAAAGAATGAGATGAAAAGGCAGAGGGGTTCTGCTTCGTAGCAGCAGAAGACGTAGGAATCAGGCCAGCGCGTAGCTGAGTCACCGCGATGGCAGACAAGCAGAGTGTGCCGGCGCCGACTGCCGAGGGGGCAGAGCTGCAGTCCCTGGAACTACGTGTCCTCTGGAGACTGTCGGGCACCTCCTCCCAGGAGTTTATGCTTCCTTGAAGGAGATGAATCCTAATGAATTCAGGTGCACGGTGGTTTAAGAGACATCCTTCCAGACCAGTTCCTCCCAGTTCCAGGGTCCGTGTGCAGAAATCTCCTTGGGAGCTGGGTGAGGTTGGCTCTCACACTGGCACGCAGAGGAGGAAGGGCTGAGGGAGGAACGAGGGAAGCCCAGAGACCCTGGGAGATGCAAGGCGCAGTGAGATGCCACCCCGCGGGAACATGTCTGTCTGTGACCTGACTTACTGTGACAAGGAAAACTACATGGTAGAAGAGCTCCCGTCTTCCCTCGACTAAGAAGAACTGCAAGCAAATGTCCAGTTCAGGCCATTTCTTAGTCTCATTGGCCTGCTCTAAAAAGTACTAGGGGGGACTTAAACCAGCAGACAGTTATTATCCCAGAGTGCTGTCATTGTCTCAGAGTCCTGGAGGCCACAGTCCGAGGCCAAGATGTCCACAGGTGGGTTCCCCCTGAGGGATCTGAAAGAGAACCGGTCCCACGGGTCTCTCCGGTGTGGTGACAGCTGGTGGCCCTGGCACTCCTCAGCCTGTGGAAGCATCACTCTAATCTCTCCCCTCGTCACCACGTGGCCTTCCGCCACATCTTCGTTTCTGTCTCCTCCTTCTCTTCTTATAAGGACTCCAGTCATGTGACCTCCTCCTGACGAATCGTAGCCACGATGACCCCATTTCCGGATACAGTCACGTTCAGAGGGACTGGGGGTTAAGGCTCGAACATAGCATTTTGGGGGGCGTAATGACAGTCCACAATTAAGAGGCACACAATTTGTATTTTATACTTTGAGTACACACTCTCTACCTCTCTGATAATAGAAAGAGTACTTGAATTTTTCTAAGTTCAAAGACTTACGGCAGGTTTTATTTACATATATATACATGTATGTGTATGTAGGTATGTGTATACACATACATGCATGTGTGTATAATATGAACTGTAGCAGTGGTTATCTCTTGGAGGAAGGTGATGGGCTTTCACTTCTACATGGTAAATGACTGTAATGTTTGAATTTCTGTAACAAATGTGTACTCCTTTGTCATCAGAAGGCTCAGTGAAGACACGCTTTCAAGGGGTTAATGAAAGAGACACGTAGTTTTTCTTTTCCTCGCAGCTCCATTCCGATCTCTTTAGGAGACAGGGTGAGGCCCATCGGGGTAAGGGAGAGAACAGGATGTTGGGAGCGTATGTCATCTGAAAAATCATATTCAAAACTGCGGTCGCTTGGATGTGACTCCCCTTGAGATGCCATCTTTAACTTACTTTACACTTGAAACAGCCTTAGAAGCGGGCTGAAGGTTTCAGTCTATCTGAGGGAAGCGTAGGTGTCAGTGTTGAAGAATGCAGGGGCTTCCTGTGGCCATTCATTGGAGTTTCCTGTTGGCCAAGGAAAAAGGGAATATTGAGTTGTGAAGTTTGTAACCAAAACAGAACTCCCAGATAAAACTGCATTTTAGGTAAATAATGAATAAATTTTTAGTAATAACTATTTCCCAACCATTTACTTATACTAAAAATTATTCCATATTTGTCTGAAATTCAGGTTTAACTTGTCACCCAGAATTTTCTTTGTTAACTCTGACAGTCCTTTTTCAAGCACATCAGTTTAGAGAAGGTTTTGCTATAAATTAGGCCACAGGAGGAGCTACTCCAGAAACCACTTGGGAAAAGAACAGTAAGGGGCCACAACAGGCAGCATTTTCCTCTGTGATTCTACCGCAGCCACAGAGGCATGCTTCAAACGGGTCCTATTTTTGTCAAACTGTGTCAGGGGTTTTTGACAAACTGGGGACCTCATGAAATCACAGGCCATGGGAAATACATGTGGCTGTTGGCCGGGGAAGAACCGTAGTTAGGTTCTCAGAAGCGTCTGAGACCTCCGAAGAGGTCAGGGACACCACCCTACCGACTGAGGGCATCGCTCTGAAGCCAGGGAAGACCTCTTTGCTACACGTTAGAGTATTATTTTTTAGGGTGCTTTTCAAGCTGTTCACTTCCTGATGACTTAAACTGAAAAATAGAGAAAAATCTCAGAAAATGTGAGGACGACGCATCTGCCTGTCCACGGCAGCCTCCTCTCACGTGTATGGAAGTTCACATGCTCTACATGTTTCACGGGAGCTGCGTGGAAGCCGGTTCAGGGGTGACTCCCGCCATGGGGAAGTCTCTGATGACAGTTAAAGTTGAGAGTCGTCTGCCCGCCCCGCCGTGTGGTGCAGGTGGCAGGGCGCCATGGCACAATGCTGGAACCACATGGCAGGGTCTGGGTTCGTGTCCCTGGGTGACTGAACACGCCAGTCATGCCTACGGGCACACACGTGATCCTGGCTGGTTGGAAGGCTGGGGTCAGGAGGGGGTCATGTCATGTGAGACTCTGTCTCTCTGTCTTGCAAAAATAAATAAATAAACTTTTTTTTTTTAAATGGGGCATGTGCCTTAACTGCCAAAACCCCTTGAAGAGTGAGATGAAGAATTCGAGAATGAGAGACAGACAGAAAACAGTGCTTGGACAGTGGGGATTCTTACTGCCTCCAGGAAACATGACAACTTTGGTAATTACTTCTTCCTTTTTCCTTTAGAATTCCTTCTTCAACCTACCGACGGCTCTTGCTGATGAGCTCGACTGGCCCCAGGTCTCTGGCGTGACTGGATTTCTGAGCTCCATGAGCGGGTACGTGAGTTCACACCCCTCACACGTTTCAGCGCCCCTGTTCAGGGACAGAGCAGGAGCCGGGCACTCCCAAGATGCTGCAGTGGAGATGATGGAATTGCTCCTAGAACATGAATGACTCATAGCAAAATCTACCCTGGGTAGAGTGTCGTGCAAATGGTGTGTTAGCAGTGCTTCCCTTCCACGGGGGCGTCTGTAGCTCACCTCTGAGAGAAAAC